GCCGCCCCCCCAAGAAGAGAAGAAGTGGCTGAAAGAGGTGGCCGGCCAACGCTCGGCGGGCGGGGGCCCAGCGGGCAGCTCCTCGGACTCAGAGTCATCCCCTGGAGCACCCAGCGAGGACCGGTGAGGCCCTGGGCAACCAGGAGGCTGGGGGGGTGGGGATGAAAGCGGGGTAGGGGGTGCAGGGGGGACCCCGGGCCTTCAGAAGGAGGCACGGGCGAGGGCTGTCCAGAGGGTCCAGGTAGCGTGAGCAAGACTGTCACAATAATAAGGAAATTAAAAATGCTAGCAGGAGCCTGGCCAGTGTCGCTCAGTGGTTGAACATCGACCTATGAACCAGGAGGTCAGGGTTCGATTCCCAGTCAGGGCACATGCCCGGGTTGCAGCTCGATCCCCAGGGGGGGCGTGCAGGAGGCAGCTGATGGATGATTCTCTGTCATCATTGATGTTTCTATCTCTCTCTCTCCCTCTCCCTTCTCTGAAATCAATACAAATATATTATATTTAAAAACAACAACAACAACAAACTCACCTCTTTAAAAGAATAATAATAACAGATAAAGCACCTAGGAGGGTGTTTGCCTATTGCAGGTACCAGATGTGAGCTCCGTTGCTTAGGGTGATGTCTGATTTATGATGACAGTCACAGCAGCGATACATGTACATATATGTACAGCAGTCAGGTGGTTACGAGGCGGTAGGCACCATTGTGAGCATTTTAAGTCATTTTATCTCCACCTAAACCCTGTGAGGTAGGTGCTGTAGTTATCCTTGGTTTTCCAGATGAGGAAACGGAGGCCCTGGGAGGTGACCTGACTTGCTCAAGGTCACACACTTTCAGGTAGAGTGCAGGGGTCGCGGTTTCGTTGTTTGTTTTTCATTTGCTGATTCATTTTTCTTTATTCTTTTTTTTAAAAATATATTTTTTATTGATTTTTTACAGAGAGGAAGGGAGAGAGATAGTTAGAAACATTGATGAGAGAGAAACATCAATCAGCTGCCTCCTGCACACCTCCTACTGGGGATGTGCCCGCAACCAAGGTACATGCCCTTGACCGGAATCGAACCTGGGACCCTTGAGTCCACAGGCCGACGCTCCATCCACTGAGCCAAACCGGTTACGGTCATTTTTCTTTATTCTTAATTTGTAATTTTTTTTTTTACTTATTGATTGATTTGAGAGAGAGAGAGGGAGAGGGAGAGGAAGGGAAAGAGAGACAGAGAGAAACATCAGTTGGTTGCTCCACTTATTCATGCATTCATTGGTTGCTTCTTGCATGTGCCCTGACTGGGGATCGAACTTGCAACCTCGGCCTTTCGGGACGATGCTCTAACCAACTGAGCTACCTGGCTGGGGGCAGGGTAGCTGTTCTAAAAGAGACTAAACATACAGCTACTCAAATGAGAGCTGGAATTGTCTTTCCATCAGAGCCCTGATACAGGTGGGAGGGTCGTGGAGAATCAGAGGCTCTCCTACAGGTTGTCTAGGGTCCCCCACTTTTCTCCCCTTTTTGCTGTTCTGCTGTCCCCCAGCATGCTGCCTTTAAAAAAAAATTATTATTTTTTTTATTGATTTCAGAGAGGGAGAGAGAGATAGAAACATCAGTGATGAGAGAGGATCATTGATGGGCTGCCTCCTGTACTTTCCACACTGGAGATTGAGCTCACAACCCGGACATATGCCCTGACCGGTAATTGAACTGTGGCCTCCGGGTTCATAGGTCGATGCTCAACCGTTGAACCGCACTGGCTGGGCCCATAGCCCTGTCAGTAGGAGTGGAGAATGGCTTCACTTTTAAGTGACAGATTTGAGTGGGCGTGGCCTGCATCCTGTTCCTCATAGCCCATTGGCCAGAGCCAGTCACATGGCCACAGCTAGCTGCAAGGGAGTCTAGTCTCTTTGACTGGTCCAGCTGTGCTGAATCGAGCCTGGTAGAAGCATTTAAAGCTGGGACTGGAAGGTATAGCAAGGGAGGAGGTTTCCCAAAGGCCTCGATTTGCAGGTCTTTTTCTTCCCTGGCCCTCAGTTGTTCTTTTTTTCTCAAACAAGTTTATGCATCTAAGTCACATACCATCTGGCTCACCTATTTAAAAGCATATAATTCACTGGCTTTAGTCTAGTCATAGAGTTATTCACCTGGGTAATCAATGTTAGAACGTTGACATCATCCAAGAGGAGAACCCTGCACCCTGTGGCTGTCACTCCCCTTCCCTCCCTCCAGCCCTAATGTCCTATCTCCATAGGTTTGCGTATTCTGGACATTTCCGATAAGCGGGGTCATACAATGCTCGGCCTTCTGTGTCTGGCTTCTGTCATTGAGCATAATATTTGTGAGGTTCACCCATGTACTGGTGCTTCATCCTTTTTCCTGGCTGAATAATATTCCATTGTCTGGACCTACCACGCTTTATTTATCCAAGTACCAACTGGTTGGGTTGTCTCCACTGTTTGGTGGACGCTGCTCTGAACATACACGGGCAGCCCTGAATTTTCGGAGCCTGAGAAATGGGCACTGAACTCTGTACTCGCAGGGGGAACAGTTCCTCTTCCAAGGGTCGGTATCCATCTCTGGGTCCGGCCCCCCTAGCCCCATTCAACCGGGACTCCCTCCAGGGGAAGGACTGGGTACCTTGAAGGCTTTGCCCAGCTCAGGAGGCCTCAACACCAACCCTCCTGCTTGTCCGCGACCAGCCACCCTCTATGTACTGGAAGCGGATGCTCTCTCCTCTCTTGTATACCCAGTGAAAGTTCTAGAACGGCGGTTCTCAACCTGTGGGTCGCAACACCTTTGGGGGTCGAACGACCCTTTCACAGGGGTCGCCTAAGACCATCCTGCAGATCAGATATTTACATGACGATTCATCACAGTAGCAACATTACAGTTATGACGTAGCAACGAAAATAATGTTATGGTTGGGGGTCACCACATGAGGAACTGTATTAAAGGATCGCGGCATGAGGAAGGTTGAGAACCGCTGTTCTAGAGAGAGGCTGGGGTGCCGTCTTCTCTCCTCTTCCTTTCATCCGCTCCCATCCAGCTTCCTCAGCCTCTTTCTGCAGGTGCTTGTGAAGCACCTACTATGTGCCACAACGGCAGTCCCAGCTGTGAACAGAACAGACAAAAACATGTGTCCTCACGGGAGCTCAGAGTCCAGCCGGCGGGGGAGGCGATCAGATAACGATGTTACGCAATAGAATACAAAGCAATATGAAAAGCCATCGGTGTGAGGCTGGGGGGAGGGTGAACGGCCGTCCGTGGAGAAAAATAAATCCGGGAAAGAGGATCCAGGCGGCCTCCGGGGTGATATTCTGGGGGAAGGGAGAGAGTTGGGGAGGCTCCCGGCAGTGACACTGGAGCAGAGAACTGAACGCAGCGGAGTCATGTGACTTTCGAGGGAGAGAACATTCCAGGCTGGGCGTGTCGGGGGATCAGGAAGGAGGCCAGTGGCCGCAGCCAGCAGGAGAGGGTGACAAGTGAGGGCGGAGAAGGAACAGGTCCAGATCTGGGAGGGACAAGGGGGCCTGGGGCTTGGGGGCCGCACTGGCGGGATTGCGCCCTGAGCGACACAGGAGACGGGGGGTGGGTTTGGGCTGAGGCCCGAGGGCGTCTGACGCCCACTGCCAAGGGGTCACGCCAGGCCCTTGAAACAGCTGTCGCCGGGGACCCTCGATCTGCATGAATCAAGTGCACATGTCTCCTGCTTCTTCCTTCCTGGGTCCTCCTCGAGGCCCTCCTGCTTGTCTTCTCTCCCCGATCCTCCTGAGCGTCCCTCCGTGCCCTGTCCTTGGCCTTGTTGCTTCTCATTCTCCGCCGCTCATTTGGCAGCTCCCACAGGTTCCCGGAGCCTCAGGGTCGCCTCTTCCCCCTGGCCACCCTCCAGGCCTCCCGCAAGCCCCCCTGCCTCCCCGCCCACTGAGCTCGCTCCTTGTCCTGGATTCCCTGTCTCAGGGACAGTCCCCTCGGCCACCCAGCCACCAGGCCAGACCCTCGGGCACCACGAAATCTGAGAAGCCCCCAGTCCTACCCCTCGCCCACTGCCCCGTCCCCCTCTGCTCTTTCCCAAGGCCCCACCCCCACCCCCATCGCCATAGCCTGGCCCTCCCGCCCTGCTCCAGCCTCATCCTTTCTTACCTGGCCCATTGCCCTGACCTCTGGTCTCAGACCTCCAGTTGGTCCCCCACGTGGCCTCAGAGGGGTCTTTTTTTTTTTTTTAATATATTTTTATTGATTTCAGAGAAGAAGGGAGAGGGAGAGAGAGATAGAAACATCCATGATGTGAGAGACTCATGGATGGGCTGCTTCTTGCACACCCCCTACTGGGGATCGAGCCCACAACCGGGACCGGAATCGAACTTGGGACCCTTCAGTCCGAAGACGGACGCTTTATCCGCTGAGCCAAACCGGCTAGGTCTCAGAGGGGTCTTGCTCCACCTTCTCACCCCTCCCCTGCTCACAGCCCTCCCCTGGCGGCTTCCTAGCACCCACCGGGAAAAGCCCTTGCCCTCGGCATCTCCGCATCTCGCTGGGGGCCCGGCCCTGTCTGGCTTGCGCTGATAAGGTGCAGTCCGCTCCTATCTCCTCCCTCCATCTTGCCCTTTGTGATCTGATCTCTGACTTGATTCACCGGTTTAGAAACCAACTGAACTGCTTCCTTAGACCTTGCGGAAGCTGCATCGAACTAGTCAGACGTGAAGTTTACCGGCCTGGAATGCCGTTTCCTCATGTTCTTTCCCGTCACTGGTTCCTGGCGGCCCGCCCGCCCCGTGGGCTTGGGCCTCCCTGGGAGCAGGGATTTCTCTCCTGGTCCCTGGCGCTCAGAACACTGTCTGCCCCTCGGGTAGCATCAGAGCAAGTTGGAATCATGACCTCGTATCCCATGTGTGTCCCCCCCAGAGCGGGCGGTTCCTGGGCGTCTGCTGAAGACCCGGGCGATGCGGGAGATGTACCGGAGCTACGTGGAGATGCTGGTGAGCACCGCACTCGACCCGGACATGATCCAGGCCCTGGAGGACACGCATGGTGAGCTGAGGCCTGGAGGGGGGAGCTGGGGAGCCCCCCTCTGCCCCCCGCGCGTGGTGGGGCTGTGACTCTTCTGACGCGCCCTCCTCCTCCTCGTCTTGCAGACGAGCTGTACCTCCCGCCCATGCGGAAGATCGACGGCCTCCTGAATGAGCACAAGAAGAAAGTCCTGAAGCGGCTGTCGCTGAGCCTCGCACTGCAGGTGCGTGTGAGGTCTGAGCAGGGGGTGTCTGGGCTCCCTAGGTCGGGCGTGGGCCAGTGCCGTGGTCCCCAGGACATCTGGAGGGAGAGTCGGGCTTGGCCAGAAGAAGAGTTGAGAGCAGGGGTCCTGAAGGTCTGGGATGGACGGCTGGGAAGGCCCAACAGAGTGCGGTTGTGGAATGCAAGTTTGGGGACAAAAGGTAAACTGAGGCCTGCACGAAGGGCTCGTTGACATAATACGGGCTCGTTGACAGAGAATCACAGGCTTCAGTATATATTTTTCAAAATATATTTTTATTGCCCTGATAGGTTTGGTTCAGTGGATAGAGCGTCGGCCTGGGGACTGAAGGGTCCCGGGTTCGATTCCAGTCAAGGGCATGTACCTTGGTTGCAGGCGCATCCCCAGTGGGGGATGTGCAGGAGGCAGCTGATCGATGTTTCTCTCTCACCGATATTTCTGACTCTCTGTCCCTCTCCCTTCCTCTCTGTAAAAAATCAATAAAATATATTTAAAAATATGTATATATATATTTTTATTGATTTCAGAGAGAAAGGGAGAGAGAGAGACACATCAAAGGTGAGAGCGAATCATTGATCAGCTGCCTCCTGCACGCCCCACACTGGGGACCAAGCCTGCAACCCAGGCATTACCCCGACCAGGAATCGAACCGTGGTCTCTTGGTTCATAGGTCGACACTCAACCCCTGAGCCATGTTGGCCGGCCCATCTACATGATTTCCCTCTGGAATGGCTCGGGTTCTGGGGTAGACTATCAGGGTGGCTCCAGGAATTCTGGGATAGAATATAAACCCTGAGATTCTAATGGGGAAGTTAGTGTCATGCTGAGAATCTTGGGGTAGAATGTTAGGGTGACTCGGATTCCTGGGGTGGAATGTTAATCCACCCTGAAAATTCTGGGGGCGGGTGTACGTCTAGTTGAGAGAATCCTAGGATGGGTTTTAGGCTGGCTTTGGAAATTCTCGGTGGCATGTTAGTTTGCATCAGAAAGTAGGGCCTCGCCGAAACCGGTTTGGCTCAGTGGATAGAGCGTCGGCCTGCGGACTGAAGGGTCCCCGGTTCGATTCCGGTCAGGGGCATGTGCCTGGGTTGCGGGCACATCCCCAGTGGGAGATGTGCAGGAGGCAGCTGATTGATGTTTCTCTCTCAACGATGTTTCTAACTCTCTATCTCTCTCCCTTCCTCTCTGTAAAAAATCAATAAAATATATTTAAAAAAAAAAAAAGAAAGTAGGGCCTGAATGGTTCGAGAGCCCTGGCTGGGATGTTAGGAGCATTCTTGAGAATTCTGGGATTGCCTGTTCGTCAGGCTCTGAGAAGTCTGGGTAGGATCTTGTGCGAGGGTTAAGAATTCCATTATTTAGCCCTGGCCGGTTTGGCTCAGTGGATAGAGCATCGGCCCTCGGACTGAAGGGTCCCGGGCACATACCTTGGTTGCAGGTTCCCAACCCTGGTCAGGGCACATGCAGGAGGCAACCAATCGATGTGTCTCTCTGTCTCTCCCCCTCCCTTCCACTCTCTAAAAATCAATGGAAAAATATCCTCGGGTGAGAATTAACAAAAATAAAATAAATAAAAATCAGATCTTTAAAAAAGAATTCCATTATTTTTAAGAAAGGAGCCCTGGTTGGATAGCTCAGTAGGTTAGAGCCTCACCCTGATACACCAAGGTTTAGGGTTCAATCCCTGGTCGGGGCACGTACAGAAATCAACCTATGAGTGCAGAAATAAGTGGAACAACAAATCGATGTTTCTCTCTCCCCCTCCCGCCCTTCCTCTTATCTAAAATCACTTTAAAAAATTATTTTAAACAAGACAAGCCATTGTAGAATATAGGCATACCTCATCTTATTGTGATGCACAGATATTGCATTTTTTTTACGAATCGAAGGTAAGACCCTCCACCAGCAAAAAGCTTACAACTTGCAAAGGCTCAGATGATGGTTAACATTTTTTTTTGCAATAAAGTATTTTTAAATGAAGGCATGTACATTTTTTTAGACAGAATGTTATTGCACACGTAAATGTTCTACAGTATGCACCTGGAAACCAAAAATGGTGTGGCTTGCTTTATGGCAATGCCCGCCGTATTGCGGCATCTGCTTTACGGCATTGTCCGCCTTATTGCGGTATCTGCTTTACGGCATTGGCTGCCTTATTGCGGTGTCTTTTTTTAAGGCAATGTCCGCTTTATTGCTGTGCCTGTTTGAGGGCGATGCCCGCTTTATTGCGACATCTGCTTTACGGCATTGTCCGCCTCATTGCGGTATCTCTTTACGGCAATTGCGGCACCTGCTTTAGGGCGATGTCCGCCTCGTTGCGGTGTCTCTTTAAGGCAATATCCGCTTTATTGCTGTGCCTGTTTTAGGGCGATGTCTGCTTTATTGCAGCGTTTGCTTTAGGGCGACGCCCGCTTTATTGCAGTCAGTGGTCTGCAGTGGAGCCCGGTGTCTCCAGCGCATGCCTGTCTTAGGATCAGTCTGAGGGTTAAGGATGGAATGTCATTCTGGGATGGACTGTTCCCTGGCGCCAGGGGTTCGGGGCTTCAGGTTGACTCCGAGAATTTGGAGTAGGATGTCGGGGTAGCTCTGAGAGTCCCGGGTGGAAGGAGGTGACGGAGAATCCTGGGCCGGGAACAGAGCACAGACAGGCCACCGGGCAGGCCGAGGCTCCTTGGTCCGTTGAAAGCAAGACTCCCAGTCGTCTCTCGGTCGACAGCCTGGGGGAAACTAAGGCATCGGGCGACCTGGGGAACCTGGGAACTGGGCGGTGGGTTTGGGGTGTGCGGGTCCAGAGGGGTGTCCCACTGACCCCTCCCCCTCCCTCCCACAGGACGCCCTGCACACGTTCCCGCAGCTGCAGGTGGAGCAGAGCGGGGAGGGCTCCCCCGAGGACGGGGCCGTGCGGCTGCGGCCGGCCGGGGAGCCCTACAACCGCAAGACGCTCAGCAAGCTCAAGAGGAGCGTGGTCCGGGCCCAGGTGGGGCCGGGGAGGGCGGGCAGGGCCGGGGAGAGGGGCTGCCCGGTGCTGGGGGGGTGCTGAGGCTTCTCCCCCCCTGTCTGCCCAGGAGTTCAAGGTGGAGCTGGACAAGTCCGGATACTACACGCTCTACCACTCACTCCACCACTACAAGTACCACACCTTCCTGCGCTGCCGGGACCAGGTGAGTGCCCGCAGCGCCTGGGGGTCCACCCCTATTGGGCTCTGCCATGGATCCAGGCCCCCAGCCCCTCCTCCCTCAGACCCAGGGGTCCAGGTCCCCAGCCCCTCCTCCCTCAGACCCAGGGGTCCAGGCCCCCAGCCCCTCCTCCCTCAGACCCAGGGATCCAGGCCCCCAGCCCCTCCTCCCTCAGACCCAGGAGTCCAGGCCCCCAGCCTCCTCCTCCCTCAGACCCAGGAGTCCAGGTCCCCAGCCCCTCCTCCCTCAGACCCAGGAGTCCAGGCCCCCAGCCCCTCCTCCCTCAGACCCAGGAGTCCAGGCCCCCAGCCCCTCCTCCCTCAGACCCAGGGGTCCAGGCCCCCAGCCCCTCCTCCCTCAGACCCAGGGGTCCAGAGCCCCCAGCCCCCTCCTCCCTCAGAACCAGGGGGTCCAGGGCCCCCAGCCCCTTCCTCTCTAAGACTCAGAGAGTACAGGCTCCCAGCCCCTCCTCTCTCAGACCAGGAGGCCCAGATCCCCAGCCCTCTTTCCTCAGACTCAAGAGTCCAAGACCCCAGGCCCTCTTCCCTAAAAGCGGAGAGCAAGAACGCGAGGCCTCCTTCCTTA